CTCCCGACCGCTCTGCGCATGCGTGCTCCCCCCTCCCTCTTGCAGTACCCATTTTCGGACACGCGATGGCAGCAGCGAGCACTCCCGACCCCTCTGCGCATGCGTATTCCCCCTTCCCTCTTGCAGTACCCGTTTTCCGACACCCGATGGCAGCAGAGAGCACTCCCCACCGCTCTGCGCATGCGTGCTCCCCCCTCCCTCTTGCAGTACCCATTTTCGGACACGCGATGGCAGCAGCGAGCACCCCCCACCGCTCTGCGCATGCTCGCTCCCCCCTCCCTCTTGCAGTACCCGTTTTCGGACACGCGATGGCAGCAGCGAGCACTCCCGACCGATCTGCGCATGCGTGTTCCCCCCTCCCTCTTGCAGTACCGATTTTCGGACACGCGATGGCAGCAGCGAGCACTCTCGACTGATCTGCGCATGCGTGCTCCCCTCTTGCAGTACCCACTTTAGGACACGTGGAAGCAGCAGCGAGTGCTCCGCACCGCTCTGCGCATGCGAGAGCTCTGCGCATGCGCGCCGGCCCTTCACGAGGCCTTATCGACTTTGTGACATGTGGCCGTAGGAGTCATAACTGCCAAGCGACCTTTACATTCATCCCTGCTTCCCCTCCTCTGCTGTTGCAGTATCGGCTTGTCGGCATATGGGAAGAGCAGGGAGCGCTCACAAGCGCCCCCCGCACACTTTACGCATGCAGCATAGAGTGTCCGACACGGGATGGTACCAGTGAGTGGCATCCACTGTGTATCCACATTCCGTGCTGTAGTATCCTTTCTCAGGCATATGCGGGCAGCAGGGAGCATTGCATGACTCACAGTGCCTGTGAGTCGGCCTTTTGTCTGTGATTCTGCTTCACTGACAAGTTCCAGGAGCTTCCTTCATTTCCCCAAAGAACCCCCTCATTATGTACAGATATGTATGTATCCACCATCCATACCTAGAATGAACTAGACAGCTTCTTCTAAGCCTGCTGCAAGAAAAATATTGCTTCCCAGTCCATTCTTGCTTTTTCTAGGGGCTTAATATGACATCTCCAGTCTGGAGGCGCTATCAAAATGGTGTCTTCATGCCCCTTTCACTTGCAGTACTGTTTTATAGAGACCTGACTGCCACCGATAATGTGTGGGAAAAGAGCGCGTATGTGCACCATTCATTTGCAGGATTCGATACGTGAAAGCCGCACGGAGCACGAGGGAGCCTGCACGCACACCACGCTCCTTTTCCATTGCAGTATTTGGTCCAGCTGCACGATGGCAGCATTGAGGCCTCCAGGGCGCTCTGCGCATGTTCTCCAACTTTGCGGACGCTGTACAACCACCTAGCCAGACGATGGCAGTGCAGTACAGGACAAGTGGTGGCGCGTATGTGTGGCCACTGGCAGCTAGGTGCATGCGCCTTGCGAGTCTAGCTTCAGCACATGCGCAATCCTGTGTCCCTTCGGCGCATGCGCCTAGGCGATCCAGCGGCGTGCAGACGCAAGCGCACCACGCACAGAACGTCATTCTTGCAGAAGGTCAGGAGGCTGCTCTAGTTTCCACAGTAGCTGAATTTTTATTCTTAAATCATGATCACACACTCATTGCCATTAGGGTGTGAAACACAGAGGGCAAAGTTCAGAGGCCATCCGCTTCTCAAGTCTGTATTGGCCATTCCGTCTGTGCTTTCTGAGATCTGAGGCCTTTGATTTTCTTCCTATTCTCCTAGAATGCCTGCAGTGAACCCCTTTTAGCTTTCCTATCCAAGCCCTCATGACTCATGCTGATCTGGTTTTATTACTTCCCTGGTGAGAGTGGCCACTGCAATAGCTGTCAGGTTAACTCTTATGTTCTGGCTGCACCAGGTGCTCTAGCACTAGGTGCTTGACAGTTTGGAAATCTACATGCCCCCTGAGTAGCCCAACTGTTAAGATTCTCCCTTCTGTTTTGTTTGTTTGCAAACACTGGTAATAAGCAGCATGATTGAGATTTTTGAGATTTCTACAATTCTTTTTTTTAGAAATATTATCACTAGAAATAAGGTGTCTTTTGGCTAGGAGCACATGAAGAGACGCCGAGCAGCTTTACGTTACAAATTTTAAAGGATAAAAAGTTATTAAATAGTCAGTACTTTACATAACCAACCAGATTTATTGACAATTCTCAGTTCTACCAGTCCTCTTGCCGTTACAGTAGAAGATAGTACCATGCCAGATTTATATGGTCCATCTTGTAATTATTCATTCTCTGATTTATACCTTCTCTTGTGTTACCTTCGAGCAACTGTGTTGCTGGCTGGGTTAAATTTGGTTCTTTGCAGATTTTTAACTTTCTATGAAAAACAGGGCTAATGCCAGGCCAGATAAGATGCTCTGCTTGCAGAGCACCATGAGCTTGCATGCTGATTCACTGCTCAGTCAAAAGATCCCATCTAGTTTTGAGTCTGCAATGATTTACAAACAGTCCTAGAGCTTTTTTTTTTTTTTTTTTTTTTTTTTTTTTTTTTTTCTCCATACTGGGCCACTGCAATTTGACCCAACTTCCTTCACCTACCATTAACTTTCATCTGCTCACAACCCAGCCATCCTGTAACGTGATCATGCCTTTCCAAAGCATGTGGCAGAAAAATCCCCAAGTCACCCAGGTGACTCTTTGTGACACCACATCCTCACTAAAAAGCCACTATTCTGGTATTTGATCATTCTCTATGAAGCAGGACTTGAGACTTTGCAGGCACCGAGAAGAGCACCATATATTCTGCCATCCAGCTAACAACAGAAGATGGTGCTGACTATCACCTAACGTGTACATCCTCTGACTCTACTGCTCACTGGGCACTTAAACTGCACACTCTTAACAACCAAAACATGGACACCCCTATAGACTAGTCCTGCTGTTCAGATTATACTTCTCATCTCTGAGCAACATGCTGCAGCTCTTGCTAGAAAGGCAGTGGTAACTTAGGCCTGGCACGTAACTTAGGCATCACTGCACACACAGTCAGGACCTGCCATGCCATTCAGGTAGAACGAACCAGAAAATCCTGCATTTCAGTAATATTAGTGACAGGAAGCATCCATCTCCAAGATACTGTCTTTATCCTGTAACTGGCTCAGTTACAGGTTAGGAAATCCTGCCATTATATATGGACAGAAAATTAAAGAACTGTAGCAGAGGCTTAAAGCAATCAGGGACTCTTTGCCAGACAACGTGCTAATCATGACTTTCCATCTCCATGCCACCCAACACTCCCAGCATACATACTACTTCTACTACTCCAGTCCTCTTACCTCCCAGTCTACTGACATCTGCAACCTAATTGTTCATTCTGCAGGCCCTGTGTTCACACCTGAAGCTGGCTTCATAATCCGCCTCCTTATTTGCAAATGCAGATCCTAAAACAAGGCTACTCCTTAATAGAGTAAAAGGTTACTCTTTATCTAATTTAAAAGGACCGCTGGTCAGGCAAAATGGTGCTTTAAAGTGCCATTGCTGAAAAAAAAAAAAAAAAAAAAAGAGGACAGAACTACAGAAACACATTTTCCCCATCACCCCTTTCCCACGCCAGGTCTCCCACCAAGTTACTCTCAACCCCAGAAAAGACATCTCGACACCCCACAAGCAGGAATGATGCAGGGTTGCCATTTCACCACTTAAGAGTTTGCAGTGCTTCATGGACACGACTCAGACTTTGCTCCCCCTGCCAGACAATCCAATGCTGCTCGGAACCCAGCACAGCCGGACTGCCCTCTCCACCGCAGTGCCTCACAGCTCCGTGTGGAAGGGAGACCCGGCAGGCCGCGGTTAACTTCCCCCGACAGGCCGGGACTGGTGGCGGCGCGGGACGGCCAGGGGGACCACGGTCACTCTCCGCGAAACGACCGAAGCTGGGGAGGAGGGGCACGTGACGTTAGGCACTATCCACGCGCCACGGCGCCCCGCTTGCGGGCCCGCCCCACCCCGTTGCTAGGGAAGTGAGGTCACGAAGTATGGCCGCTCGGTGCCGCGGCGGCTGAGGCGGCGGAGTTGTGAGGAATCCGCATCCATCCTGCAGTGGAGCTGCAGCGCCGGTGCGCCTGCCTCGCCACTGTCGCGCGGCGGGACCGAGGCCGCGATGGCGTCAGGAGCCGTAGGGCTGTGAGGCGGTAGAGCGCGAGCCGGTGGGGTGGACAAGACAGCCGAACAGGATCGGGGACAGAGCGGGCTGCCGCTATGGAGCTGAGGGTCGGGAACCGCTACCGGCTGGGCCGCAAGATCGGGAGTGGCTCCTTCGGGGATATTTACCTAGGTAAGGATGGTAGTAAGGCAAGCGCTGCGTAGAGCTGCGGGAGCCGGCGCGTGCCTTCTTCAAGCTCACGCCCGCTCCCCGCCTCGCACTGAGGTTGAATTGGGGGCTGCCCCCGGACCTCATTTCATTCTGGCCAGAGTTTGAACTAAAAAAATGTGTTTAGATGTAAGTTACCTTGACGCTGCTGCAGTAAGAGTTTAGTTTTTTGTTGGTGTCATTTGCTAATTTAGACAGTGCAGAAATCAGGACTCATGCGTTATTAGGTCTGCCTCTTTCCATTGTTGTCTTGTGACCTTGGGCATTGTCGACTTTTTCATCTATAAAATGTAGATCTCAAGGATCTCAATCCCTTCATCTGAAAAAAAAAATCAAGAAAATATTTTTAAGCAGAAACGTGGCCCTCCATATTAAATGTAACTGGGGTGGAGTAGACGAAATAGCTGTCATGGGAAGGAAAGACTCTGCTCTTCCTGGAGGCCTAAACAAATTAGATAACTAGGATGACTAAATTGGAGCTAAAAGAGAAAATCAACCCTTCACAGAGTCGTTGTATTTCAGCTGTCGTGTTGCTTGAATGTTGCCATAACATCTTAATACATACATCTTATTCTACTACTGTAATTTCTATGTGGCTCCAAAGTTTGCAGGACTAGAACTGTGTTTTTCTGTCTCTTTATGTGTCTCTCTGTCATAGCGGTTCATTACATTTGATAAACAGAGGAGTGTACAAATTCTGAAAACATGTATTTTTAAAGCACTGTATCTTGCAATGCAACAAATGTTAGCAAATAAGGTAAATGTAGAGAAACATAAATTTTATCTGCTGCCACGTAAAAACTGAACATTTTGCTTTTTGAAGTTGTGAAAAGCCATCATAAGGCGTGGAAAAAAGTGCTGGAGCTAAGGTAGGTTAGCTGCATATGCCTAGAGGATATAAAGGATGTTGCTAGCTAATGCGTGTAGTACATTAGGCAGTATACACAGTACACGAGTGCTTTGTGTTGCAGCATACAGTTTGTGTTATGAAATAATGTTAGTGAAAGCTCTACTTGTTTATGTTACTGAGATATTGGTTATCCTTGATATAAAACATATGCCTGCTGGAAATTTGAGATTTCTAGCAGAAGGCTCGTGGATTGTATAGAAGCAGAGAACATGAGTCTCTCTAAAAGTATATTTTGTGTGTCACTTCTATCTTCACGCGTAGAACCCTCACTAAAAAAAATTGCAAAGATAGTACTTAGGTGTCTTTTATTACAGAACTATTGCCATACTGCGCTCTGCACAAGAATTTCTCCTCCTCAGATTTCCTCTTCACTGACTCTTGAAACTCCTCAAACATGGATTTGCTTTTGGGACTTACTGTAAAGGCGATGAAGTCAGCAGCTTATAGAGAATTATATGCCTGGAAGATCCATCCAATGATACAGATTTCTTATTTGAGTAATTGCTGTTTCAAGAACTGAAATATAGCAGACTGTTATAGAGGCCCATTTTGTTTGCCTAACGCGATCTGACAAAACAGTTTTGAGTTTTTTTTTTTTAATCTGTCATTTTGTGTGATATGGAGCATTTAAACAATAAAAAAAAAACTATATTCAGATTGTACAGTAGGACAAAACTGCATTCAAGTAACTTTTTAAATAATTTCAGATCTCATTAATCTTCTGAAGCACAAACGGCCTCTCCAGCATCTCTCAGTGGGCTTTAGATCTGTTTAATTTTTATTTATTTATTTTTCATCTGTTTTTAGTCTCCCTGTAATTTCTTTAATGACGTTAAAGTTAAATTAAGAAGGGAAGACAGTCCACTGAGAATAGGAGGAGGGTTTTTTGTTGTTTTTTTTTTGTTTGTTTTTCCAAATATAGAACTATCAATTAATTGTTGACTATGCCAGTTCTTTCATAATATTTCCTGTTCTCTTTCGGACCTTAAAATATGTCTTCTGGAACGGAATTGTAAATGCCCCTAAATTGATTTAGTTGGAATGATAGGGTACAATAGTGGCAGGCACTGTTTTAAATAAAAGAATGGACTAACCTATTGAAAACAAAATTCAGGAATTTAGAGTACTGAATTGACATGCCTCTGTCAAAATTACCTTCCATCGAAAATGTGAAAGAGTATCACAGATTGTGAGATATTCTGTAGTCCAAACAAGGAGTACTGTACAGGAAAAAAAATAACTTGAGTAAGCATCTGTTTATTGCTCAGTCCATGAGGTCAGATATGCATCATGATGGCATTGCATTCACTGTGTTTTCATTATTTTTCCCTCGCATACATTTTCTTCAGGATGGTTTTTGGGTAGTTAACCGTTATCTAAAATAACTCTGAGGCTTCCCTGCTGATACAGGATTTTACAATCATGCTAAATTACATTATTTAAAATAAAATATTTTTATAATTCTTTAGACTTTTTTTCTCTTCACTTACATGAAGTGATTTGTATTTCACTGTTTATTTTTTCGTATAATTTATTGCTGTATTTGCCATAAAGCAAACAAAATGGTGATTGCAAAGTTATTTTAGAAATTTTGTCCAAAACTTTAAGTAAAGAAAGAACAGAGGATAGTTGTTTGGTTTACTTGAAATTATGACTAATCTTTTCCTTTCCCTCTGTTTATTTCCTCGAGACTAAATTCTTTGCTTTTGTTATCTTAATATGAAACCTATTATTTTCAGAGAAATTATGAGGGTTTATAGAGAAGTAGAGTGCTGTCTAAGGATTCTGACTCAGAGAGAGTCACAGAAAAGTTGTGGTTGGAAAGGACATCTGGAGATGTCTAATCCAACCTTCCTGCTCAAGTGGTCAGTTAGAGCAGATTGCTCAGCCACAGATAAAGGTGGGTTTTGAATATCTCCAAAATAGAGACTCCACAACCTGCCCACATAACCCATTCCTGTTTACAGTCACATTCACAATCGAAAAGTGTTTTCTTAATTCAGGCAGAATTTCTTGTATTTCAGTTTATGCCCATTGCCTCTTGTCCAGAGCGATGGATAGAGCTCTTGGAAGGATTAAGACTGTGGCCTTCAAGTAATGAATTGCTACTGTATGGAGCAGGATTTACCATGTAGATCTCACCTTAGATATTACAAATCTGCAACTATCTGTAAAAAGAGATGCATCTTTCAGGGTACCATGAGGGTCATCTGTTTGTGGCCATTTCTTTTCAGAAGAAGAAAAAAAAGCTGTTTTTGGTGCTGATCAGATCAAATCTGTAGATCAGATCAGACTCATCAGATGATATTCGTCAGTGAATGCTTTTGCCGGTCTTGGGGAGGGCAGATTGTGAGGCTAGGAAAAAGCATAGTGTCATCTGTAGGAGAGGACAAAATTAAGGTTATCAACGTTATCTGCTTTCTTCATACTGCAGAAAGAGAGGATAATGTTTTAATCCTTGTATCATTAAGGAGGAGGGGGTGATGTATTGGTCATTTCATGTTTCTGGATTGATGTAGCATTGCTCCTTTAAAATCCATCAAAATAATACATTCATAAAACACGACAATGTTAGATTGCAAAATTAAGATTTTTTTTGGTCGCTCCTACTGTTGTGACCTATGTAAGTAATCTGGGATCTGGCCACCTATTCTAGCTCAATTTGAAAGTGAACAGATAAGCTAATTTTTCAGTCACTCGATTACTGAAAAATTCCGTATGAATGAAAAACTGCAGTTTGAGGGGGCAGGTGCTTGATTCTGGGTAGCTGCCCCCAAACATATAAAATCATAAGACATCAGCATATACATGGAATATGCTGAGATGCAGAGAAGTCATAGTCTGATTCCAGGGCATAAGAGCAGTTTCAAAGGGATGTATCACCACATGCCACACCCCCGAACATTCAGTGGAAACACCTGCACCACAAATACGCGAATGGAGTGGAAAGACTCACAAAAGATGATCCCTCCCCTCCCCTCTCCTTCCTGTGCTACATGTCTAATGCCTGCGTTTTTCTAAACTGCTATCGTAGAGGTACTAGAAAATTTCTGAAGAATTTTAGGTAATCATGGCTGAGAGTACGTAACAACATTTGAATGTTTATGATGGAGAAAAAGCTTGTCAGCGTTTGCTTAGTTTCCTTCTTTACAAAGGAAATATAATCTGATTTTTTTTTCATCATTTTAGGAACTGATATTGCAGCTGGAGAGGAGGTTGCCATTAAGTTAGAATGTGTGAAGACCAAACATCCTCAGCTCCACATTGAGAGTAAAATCTACAAAATGATGCAGGGTGGAGGTAAGCCGATTTTTTTCCTTCCTAAAAAAACTTAGTTGTTCTTATGTCTTTGAGGTCTATTCCATTCTTCAGGGTTTAACAGTTTCTCTGTAAAGGCAATTCAGGGAAAAAATATTTATATTAAATAAAGATATAAAGTGAAATTAATTACACAATTTCACTGCAAATTACATAAAAATAACTCAGTAAAACCGTTTGAAATTGTGCATGAGAATATCTGCCTATAGGCGTTATTCAAAATACTTGAGCAATTGTATGGTTTTATGTAAAAATAGTGTTTCTGGCTTTTTCAGGATAGGAGCAGGACTACTTTTATGTCAAGCTGGGTATGCAGCAGTATAGTACTCCTCATAACTGGTGCTACTTCAGTAGAGATTTGCCAAGCAGCAAATACATAATAACTGGAGGAAAGACGGTAACATGAAGCAAGGGGGGAAAGTCATTCCAAATTCAGAGGGAAATGAGAGGTCTTTTAAAGTGATGTTGAAAGAAATTAGTTAATTTCTAAACTCTTCTTTAATAATAATAATATTTAGTGATTTGACTAGTGTCTGCATTTTCAGTTTTTTGGTCTGCTCCTTATTGATATCTTGGGTACTATGTGATTGTTAATATTTACAAAAAGTTTAAAGTTCAAGCGTAGCAAAATGACTAAATGTTGTCAAATGTTTAGTTGTATCAAACTAAGCAAAAAGACCATAAAGTGTTTACTGAAAGAGGAAAAAGGCTATTTTAGATCTCTCTTGCGATATTTTTATATGAGTCTTTAAATGAAATTATCAGACTTTTAATTTCAGAACATCTGAAGGTAGCATGAAATACTAAACTTGAGTGGAAATAAAAACATTCACGGTAATGACCCTTTTAGAATGTGTCCTCTGAGTCTTGAAGATCTGTATCTGAGACCTGCATAAATCAAAAATTGAAGTCCTGAATGTTTTCTTTTTTTTGTATGTGTGTGTTTTTGTTTTGTTTTGTTCCAGTGGGTATTCCCACAATTAAGTGGTGTGGAGCTGAAGGGGATTATAACGTAATGGTGATGGAGTTGTTGGGACCAAGTCTTGAAGATCTGTTCAATTTTTGCTCAAGGAAATTTAGCCTCAAGACAGTTCTCTTACTTGCTGACCAAATGGTAGGAAACTGCTTAGGTGTTCTTGTTAATAAAATATATTGAGTATATTAATATTTCATAAGAGAGATCACAACCAGTTATGTTTTCTCTTTAGTAATTTAGAGATGACTAGGGTGTATCATATTAGAGAAAAGACTCAATCAGTTGTATTTCTATAAACATACAGGGTTTCATCAAAAGTAATTATAAAGTCTTGATTTGATTTTAAAACTCGGACCTGAGCTATTTGCAAGGCAGCTATTACACTTCTCAAATGCATTTCCCCCAAGAACAGTTTTTAGAATAGGAAGTGGAATAGACAGAGGAAAGATAGAGAGAAAGTTTATCTATTGTCTTTTAAATTACATTTTGCTAATGGCTCTATGTTTAATAAAATGGATAAGGATTTTTTTTTAAGACTGTGTTTCTAATGCTTTTTAAGAAAAAAAAAAATATAATCTCTCAAATGTTTTCATCCTCTGTTGTATCTAGATTAGTCGAATTGAATATATTCACTCCAAAAACTTCATCCACCGAGATGTGAAGCCGGATAACTTCTTAATGGGCCTCGGAAAGAAGGGCAATCTTGTCTACATAATAGACTTTGGATTAGCAAAGAAGTACCGAGATGCTCGAACTCACCAACATATCCCGTATCGTGAAAATAAAAACTTAACAGGAACTGCCCGTTATGCATCCATCAATACTCATCTTGGAATTGGTGAGTTGGAGATTGTAATAAATACAAAATTTAGCGTTTATTTAGATGTTGATAATTTTAGCCATCAAAAATTGCTTTATGGATGCTTGGAAGATGGTCCCTACTCCTGGTGCTAACAGTGCATTATGCTAAAGTTTATGTTGATGAGGAGGGAGTCAATCTATGTAATTTTACAGAATTAGAATTGTAATTGTCTATGTATTTTCACGGAATTTCACAATTGTAAGAGTCATAGTTTTGTGGTGTTGGGTGGGTTTAGCGTGGCCGTACTAATCTTCCATATTCTGACATGTTTTAAGACGTCTTATGACATTGTTGTACAATTTTATGTTTTTTTCCAGTAGAAAATCAAACCTAATGAGTCCACTTTTTTATGCTGTTGTAGAGCAATCTCGCAGAGATGACTTGGAGTCCTTGGGCTATGTACTGATGTATTTTAACCTGGGCTCCCTCCCCTGGCAGGGACTGAAGGCAGCAACAAAGAGGCAGAAATATGAACGTATCAGTGAAAAGAAAATGTCTACACCCATTGAGGTTTTGTGTAAAGGATATCCTTGTAAGTTACTCTTTTGTGACACTGACTTTAGATGTTTATTTTTTAGGAGTATTGTCTTTCTATTTACGCTGAATTCTAGCTCCTGTATTAGATTGTTGCTTTTGCATCATGTAATTTTCCTAGTCTTTCTGACTTGTCTTAGTGTGTAGGCATGTCCATAATAGAGATACAGTGCTTCAAGACTGTGTTCCTAGATGATTTCTAGTTGTCCACTAGGTGTCCACTAGTATTTAATGTGCAGTCCTTGCCATGCCTTTGACATTGGTGGTTTAAGTCAGTATATCTGGCCTACGCAATGTTGTACATGTGTGCATATATGCTCCCTGATTAATTGCAACAACTGAACAACCTTTCGAGAAACTGCCTCGTTCTTCATATGTATAACGTTTTGTGGATGATTAGGATTTCATAGTCAAACTCATCTGTTACATTTTGTAGTTGTTTAATTTAGTATTGGTTGTACTTGGTTCATCTACTTTGCTCGATCAATGTCCAACATCTGTGATGACTGTAAGAAGCCCTCCTGCATCCTAGTGAGATTCCCTCAAGGCTAGTCTTTTCCTCTATTGGGTATCGTCCCTGTGTTAATAATTAGAAAGTTTTTGAGATATGTAACATCATACTTAATCTACTTTAAAACTTGTTAACATTAATTCCTATTACAGAAATTGTTCTCTCGCAGGAAGAGTTCTCTCTCTACTCTTTTCACACTCTTGGCCACCACTGATGATTTGCAACACGACTTACTTAGGAGATTGCTAAGTGTCTGTGTTCTGTTCCTCCCTTCCTATACCTCATCTTTGTGAGCTGTTAAGTAGCAGAAATGAATTTTCATGTGTCTTTATAGCAAAAGATGCTCCTCCACATCCTGAAGTTTAGTTTAAATACATTCAGAGCAGAAAAAGCCTAGAAAAGCCTTCCTTCCATTGTTGCAGTAACAGTTTTAAACCTGTCTCCTCAAACCCTAATGGACAGTCTCTTTTGGTCTTGACAAGTTGGATCCTTGCTACTTTGCAGTAGGCATATATTTAATTTTTCTGGGTATACTTATGGCTCAGAATTATAAAAAGTAAATGTGAAGCCAGAGGGGAATGGGAGGGGAAAAAAAAAAGAACTTTTTCTTTTTACAGCTGAATTTGCTACATACTTGAATTTCTGCCGTTCTTTGCGTTTTGACGACAAACCAGACTACTCATATCTAAGGCAATTATTCAGAAACCTTTTCCATCGACAAGGATTCTCCTATGACTATGTGTTTGACTGGAACATGCTCAAATTTGTGAGTAGCTGACAGATTACTAGAACTTTTTTTTTAATGGTATTTTCTGTTACATTGTTTGAATTCTTTACTGATAAGTTTTGTCTCTTCTCCTAGAAGCTTTATTGTTTAGGAAAAAGATCAGGAAATTGGAAAATGCAGGAGTTGTAGGACCAACGAGAAGAGGTTGAATGGCAACTAAGTTGTAGTTAGGGAATTTTAAAAGTATAAGGCTTTTGAGTTATTTCTGTCAGGGCAGCCCCCAGGTTAGGTTGCTGAGTTACTGTTTTTTTTTTTTTCATCTTGATCTTCAGTTCCAGTCAGTTGAAACTGTTATTAGGAATACAGCTCCCGAAACAGTAAGCATGTACATTACGTTTTGAAGACTATTCTCATGGTTGTATGAACTGAATTTGTGACAGTGTTCAAGATTTTTTTACCAAAAAAATAATGCTCTGGCAAATTACACTTAACGTTTTTTTTTAATTTTCATTATTCATTGGTATACTTACTTGTAAGTTCTGTACAAGTTTTTCACTAGTCTCAACCCACAGGGTGCAAGCAGAGCTGCTGAAGATGCAGAACGTGAAAGGAGAGAACGAGAGGAAAGATTAAGACATTCACGGAATCCCGCTGTCCGTGGCTTACCCTCCACTGCTTCTGGCAGGCTGAGGGGAACACAAGATGTAGCTCCTCCTACTCCTCTTACTCCAACTTCACATGCTGGTAAGTAGGATAGATGCATCTTGCAGAATACTCCAACTTGCAGTTCTTTTCTGATATTTGGAAAAGAGGAATTAGGAAACCCAACTTGTATTTGTCTTTAGGTATTTTTTTTGGTTGGTTGATAGTTTTTTAACAGATTGAAGGTAATGGTACACACCCAAAAACTACCAGTTGCTGCTTAAAGATTTCTGTGGTTATAGAACAAAGCCCCTAATTTTTCTCATTTGGCTTCATGGAAGCCATATAAGCAAACAGCAAGATTTCTTTTTTAAACGATCATGGTTTAATTTCATTTTTCTTACAGCCAACACTTCTCCTCGGCCAGTGTCAGGTATAGAACGAGAAAGGAAAGTGAGTATGCGGTTGCATCGTGGTACTCCAGTCAATATCTCATCATCTGACTTAACAGGCCGACAAGATACCTCTCGTATGTCAACCTCACAGGTAAAAAAAAAAATTGTGTAATGCAGAAATGAGTGAGTGGATCAAAATAATTCGCTAAAAGCGCATATTGGCTGTTTGATTAGATTTCACATTGATTTTTCGGACCTCATTGGCTCATAAATACTTGAAATTTTACCTGAATGTTTGTGACATGGCTGTAGGCTACTGTGAAAATTCCTGTACCTTGGCAGTGATACTTTGAGCTAAAATGCTCTAAGTAATGAGAAATCTTGGGAGTATGAGACGATGCAAAATCCTAGGGATACAGGTTTTTTTTTTTTTTTTTTTTTTTTTTGTCTACAGTTACATCATTTAGCTCCTTTGGTCACTGAACTTCTCTTATCAGTGAGGAAGCAAACATGCAGTCAGTTGTGAGCCATACTTTCAAATCAATGAAATGAATAGTTAGACACAGCAGTGAAGAATATGGTATAGTGCAGTATGGTAACTCAGAGTAGATAAGCCTCGTGCATGGATGATTGAAAGGTCACAGAAGACTGTTCAGTAGGGTTGCAGGAAGTTAAATGATACAGTGATTCACACCTGTATCTTGTACTGAAATTATCCTCGTTGACCAGAGTGACTTAGCAAAGGGACTTACCTTTTTAGGACTGACCAGCGATATTAAAATATATATTTTAAGTCTCTGTGCTATATCTGAAACGCTCCTTTGTCAGAACATTCACAAAGGCTTGTCTTGATGAGTCAGTCACCTGACTACTTCAGCCCTACCTACAGATTAGGGAGTCTGTTGTTACATAGGTAGACTGCAGCACTAGTGGAAGACGAGTATGTTGTGAAGACAAGTGTGGTTGTCTGTTGTTTTTACTGTAGATTTACTATGGATTCGTGTTATTCCTTGTGGATAAACATACTGTGCTGATTTAAAAAAAAAAAAAAAAAAGGATTCCTTTGCTTCTTAATTTCTTTGGCAGAATTAATTACTTGGGATGTGTTCTTAGTGCTAGAGAGAGAACTCTCTTAGATGGAAGTCAGATGAGTGTCTGTTATGCAAACTGAGGCCATAGGCTTTTTCTGGGTTTTGTTTGTTTGTTTGTTTTGTTTTGTTTGCAGATGGGTGTTATGTTCTGGCCTGAATTAAAAATGAGAAAGAGATAAGACAGTGAAGAGACAATGGCATCAGAAAAAAATGTCAAGCTGGAATTCATTCTTACTAAGAGTACTAAGAAAGCCTGCCAGAGGGTATTCATTTGTCAAAACAATAAAGAGATGATAAATGGATTTTTTTTTTTAATCAAACTCAGGATGCTTTGAGAAGGAAAGAAAAAGAAGGAAATGTGTTTCTCTCTTCAGTATAACAGGGAAAGAAATAGCACAACAAAGTATCTTATATAACGAGAAATTGAAATCAATAGAAGAGTGTTTGTGTGTACAATGACTGATGAACAGCATCCTCTGAAAAAGGCAAATTTTGCCTCTTTTCAGCCCTCAACAACTTCTCTATGAGGTGAAGCAAAATATGGGGGGGGGATTTAGCTCCAGAACCTACAAATCCTCTGTCTCGTTTGACAGCCAGTTTGCGTGGTGAATAAACAACATGATATGATTTCATTTCATTCTAAATGTTAAGTTAGAAACCTAGAACTACAACTGTGATTTTTCTTCTTGTGGCTTATGTAGGAAGAAATAAAACTTTTAAAATATCTGTAACTCTATTTCAGTGCTTTTAGACATAGCCTCCTCAAATGTGTCCAAGTATAGGAAACAATGCCATGTATGCATTTAGAAATCAGTAAATAGTCTTATTTTTGCCTGACAGTTGAGGTCTTGAACTTTGAGATGTCTGCTCTGAGGGAGAACGGTGCTACTTTTTGATTTCTAACAATTTAACTCCACCAACTTAAAAACATAGGGCTGTACTTCACATACCTTTTAAGCTGACAAAGTTGCTGGAAAAGCAGACACTCTCAGCAGTGCCATCATTCCAGCATTCATGCAAGCATATGTTGGACTGGATCTGAGAACTAATTCTGCTGTAGCAAAAGCAGAGTGGGATTTTTTGCAGGTAGCTCTCAGGTGGATTCATTCTGTTTCCCTGTGTAGCTGCACAAACGTTTGTGCTGGCACAAAGGATGGACAGTGAAGAAAGAAATGTGAGTGAACAAGTGCAAGACATGGCAAGTCAGGTTGCCTCTCTTGGCACTGGTGGCATTTTTTGCCAGTTTGAAATGTTTTTTGACACCAAAAAAGAAATCTCAGAGTGAAGATACTTTATTCCTGAGGTGATGAAAATGAAAGGGCCATAACCGGGCATAGGTATGTTTGAACTATCCATACTGAAGTGTGTGGTGAAATACCGGTTTGACATCTCTGTGAAGCACCAGGCCAGTTCTGGGCTCCTTATTACAGGGCAGATCTGGACATACAGGAGTGAGTCCAGTAAAAGGCCGTTAAAATCATTACAGGATTGGATCATCTAACGTGTAGAAAGGCTGAGAGGGACTGTGCAAGTCTAGAGAAAGAAAAATTCGGGGGGATGTTACCAGAGTGTAAAATATGTGATGGGAGGGTGCAGAGAAGGTGAAGCCAAGTTCTTCTTAGTGGTGTGGTGCCCAGTGAACGGACAAGAGGCAATGCAATGGGCACAAATTGAAATACAAAAAGAAATCCATTTAAAAATAAGTTCTGTTTTGTTTTACTGTTAGGGTGGTCAGGCAGTGGAACAGGTTGCATAGTTAGGTTGTGGAGTCTCCATCTTTGGAGGTTTCGAAAACCAGGTTATGTCCTGATCAACCTACCCTCATTGCCCCTGCTTTGAGCAAAGAAATTAGAGATTCCTTCCAACCTCAAGTATTCTGTTTTTTCAGAATTCTCTTTTGAGATACTCAAGTACAAAAATGTTTCCTTGGTGAAGTGTGCATGCTTAGTTGTTATATATTGTTATTAAGTGAGGCACGTTCAAGGGCATTCTAAGCAAATTTCAGATAGTTTCTCTCTGTTACCAATCAGATGGAAGCAAGTAGTTAGCGGGAACAACAGAAATATATACAAAGGTATTTAGTTATGCTAGGAGAATCAATTACATGGAGTTTGCTTTGTGTATTTTTTTTCCTATACAGCTGACATTTAGCTCAGTGTGTGCATGAAATTTTTATAAATATTATAAAATATGAGTAATCCAGATAGGTTTGCAGATAAATTTTTCATTCTATTTATTTATTTATTTTAACTTTTTTTATCTCAGGCAGATACCAGGTTAGAAATTTAGAGATTAAGGCCATGGATTGCCCTCTGTCTTTAGCCCTTATTCTTACTTAGGAAAACTGGAAGTACCCAAGTTGTATGGCAAGATCGTTAAGGAGAATTCGTTCCGGATAACTCTAGATAATATAGAAAATTGTCTATACCACTTCTGATGAGGAAAACAGTAAAGAACAACACCTGTTCATCCATATTCATCCCACACATGCTGGTTTCCTTTACGAGTCCAAAGTAAATACTATCACTTTAGCAAGAACTACCACGGTTCCTTTCTCAGGAAGTTCTTAGACCATGTTGCAGTTAGATAGCAGCATTTACGCTCTACTGCACAGATCTAAGGATGTCTTAGGTTAAGAACTAGTTTTGTTATTTATAACTTAATTAATTCTATTGGGTAAAATATTGGATGCCTAGGTTTGGTAAGGCAACACTGCAGCTATAGTCTACCCCTCCCATCATCCAGAGGAAGAGCTACTGTTTATCGAGATTTGGACAGTGGAAATGTGCAGAGCATAAATAAAAAAGGAAAGGTGCTTACTTGAAAGTAGAGTTCTTAAAGATGACTTCTGCACATTAACTTTCTTTCTCTCTTCTGTCCCCCCCGCTTTTTTTTAATTGTTTGGATTGGAGTTCGTATTTTTGTTACTGAAAACTAAAAGGCTGGGGATAATACAAATCAAAATATGGTATGGAAAATGATTTTTTTCCAAATAAATTTAATATTAAGCAGGGGGAAAAAAGTGATTAATAAAGGTAGCTGAATAGATGAGTAATATTCCCCATCACCAAGACATTGTTCACGTAGTACCTAAGTATCTCCTTTAGGCACATTAGCATTTTGCCCCATTAAATAATACGTGTTTGTTGGAATAATAATTAGCAGATCTCTCAAAGGGGTTGTGAAACAGTGTTTCTAGAGAAATTGTATCAGTTCTATGATGGATCCTATTTGCTATTTTTCTCAGTTATATGAAGGTGAATTTAACAGCTGAAAATCTTTTGAGGCGTGAGATGTTTGAATGATAAACGTTGCTGAGAGTTGGGCAGTCATTCAAAGGAGTTGCATTTTTTTAGAGACGTGAGTCCATTCGAATAAAATGTGTGTTAATAGTACTCTGAAATCTGATCAAGGAGTGCAGTTTGTTGATGTGGATGCTATTATCCATGGTGAATACTGACTGAGGAGGCTTTAGTGGTAATGATGGAAAGGTTGGTGTGATGTCATAATGAAAGAGATTAATGTTATCCTTGAATGCGTTCAGAAGATAGTACTAAGTACAAGTAGGAAGATTATTTCATGGCATTAGTGACACTGATGCTAGAATATTTTGTCTAATTCAGGTCTAATTTTAAGCTATTGGAAAACTGAGAGTAGTACAGAGAAGAGGCATAACAAGTGTGCTTGAGAAAACATGCTGTACGATTTAAGACTTTTGGCTTAGTATCTTTATTTTTTCCTGAAAGATAAAATACCATCTAGAGTTAGTGTAATACTATAGAGACAAGAGTTGCACCAGGAATTTAAATTAAAATGGAAAACATGCATAAGGAACCAATACTTAAAAACAATCATATTCAAAGAAGTTTGAATATGCAGAAGTTTAAACAAAGCCGTTGGACACTGAAACAAGTTTCAGAAAAACAGCACTGGATCCTCCATCTCTGTTGTCTCTACACCAAAACAGGATGCTTTCCTAGGTTATATTTGTGAGTTCAAAGTAAGCGCAAGTTACTGATTTCAGTGCAGAGGAGTTCTATGATCTACAATGGACAGAATATCAGGCCAATTGTTAGAAGATCTTTCTGCACCTAAGCTGTATGAATTCATTTTTCACTGTGTCTCCATTATGTAGTTCTAGTTTTTAAATGTTAATAAAGGTAGTAAAAAAGGCCACAAGTATTCCAGCAAGCACTATTTTGAATCAGTTCTGTCAGTCCAGACTGCGTCCTTAAAACATGAGAGTGCATTGATCATCCCAGAATTTAGTTACAGGTGAGTAACCTTCATTACCTTTCACATAAGGTTCAGTCCTGCAAAAAGCTACCTCAGTGGGACCACTCATTGCCTGCAGTAAGATTTTTTTTTTCACTCTGAATGTGGCACGTTCAGCACCTTACAGTCAAGGCTGTGTATAGTTCATACTAGTTATAGATGAATCACTCCCTCCTTGGAAGAAAGGATTACAATGCTGAAAAAAAAATCAGATATCTTTGACAGGTTTTCTAAATTGATAGCCAAAACTGATAGCGAACAACTTAAGTGTTGTGACACTTCATTGGGAATAAAGCCAACATGTTTCCAGTATCTCTGCATTTTTAATCCCCTCATGAGCAAACCTTTCTCCATGCATTCATCATCAGAGACATCATATTCTACATTGCTCTTCTGACCGTGGAATTTCTCAGTTTTCTTTGAGGAGTTAATTATCTGTTCCTTTTAAGTATTTCTTAGTATGATAGAAATATCTGATAGACATCTAAAATGCAAGCTCTTCAAAAGGTATATAGTTGCAACTACAATTTTGAAATGGATTTTTATAATCATCTTTTTATAGTCATATTTGGACAGTGGAACTGTTACAAATTGCTGTCTTTTCCCCCACCTCAGAATAGCATTCCTTTTGAACATCATGGCAAGTAGCTGTTCGTCTCCTTTCGTTGGAAGGCAGCACTGGGTGAGTGCCTCTCACTAGAAACCAAAACATTGAATGGGATGGGAAAAAAATCTTCAGTAACATCAGTCTTTGCTTCTCCTCCTCACATTATCTCATAGCTTTGCGCTGTTTCTGTGCCTTCTGATCAGGTGCTTGATGAAGCATTATTTTCTTCTACATATAAATGTCCTTCCAAACATTGAGTTGTTGCTGCTGTTCCACTTGGACTCAGCAGAACTAACAAAAATAGTGACTTAAAAAGTCACTAAAGTCATTCAGGCATCAGAGATAAAACAACTAAATCATAGCTGTTCTAGAATTACACCTCTTTCCAGAGATTTTCATAGAACTAAGTGTCATCCATTCAGAACCAGATCAAGCTTCAGAATCATAAAACCAAAATACTTTACAAAGAATTAACTGATTACATTACTCAGATGAGGCTTTGTCTTGTCGTGAATGGAACGTTCTACTACAGCATTATTATCTGTATTCTTCTCTATTCCTTATGAGCTGTCATGTTAGAAATATTCAGATCAGTTATACTAATGAAAATAATTTGAACATTGAGCATCTTGAAACCAAACAGATTTAGGTTTAGATATTTAGGCCTGCTTTCCACTGATCATTGCAGTAAAAATTTCTGCCTATTTGTGTGCAGTTTTTCAGCTTTTTAGTCCATTCTGCTTTTATCGATAGTGGGTTTTATCAGGGAATCAGTAACTTGCTGTTGGAATTCAAACCTTGATGTACTGAAGGATGCATTCTTAAATATTTCAGATATTTCAGGAGCTTCTTTTTTGCTTTGCTTTTTATTTAAAAAAAAAAAAAAGATCATGGGATTTTTCTGTTTCTTTTAAAATTTCACTATCTGCTGCTTCACTTACTCTATAAATTCTAAGCTTGCACTAATCCTGTATCTCTAATTGGTGAAGAATCCTGCTCTCTTCCTCTTTGTTTTTCTCCTGCCTTGTATGCTTGGCTGCTTGGCACAAGCTGCTTCTTAAACAGTTTGTAACATTGAAAAGATCCAACTTTAAATGATCGGTTAACATTTTAGAACCTAATAACCAGACCTTAATTTAAAATAGTATATATAATTTTAAAAGTTCATATATGTGAGAATTACAGGTTCCAGCTGCTCACAGTTGTCTCTGCATTGTTTAGCCTTTGCTATATGCCTTAGTATTTGTAGTTACTCGCAACTGAAATTAATACTGAAATTAATGACTTAGCTGCTTTGACATTTCTCGCTCCGTAAATTGCAGCGATGTGTAGTTGTTTTTTACTTTCACTGTAAAGGTGTTATTGAAATAGATCAAGTTAGGGAAACTTCTGGAATGTATTTTAACCTGGTGTTCCACTCAAAACTAAAAACACCATTTAAAAGAATTATTTTCACCATCATCTTGGGATTTTCTTTTTTTTTTCAAATATTAGTATTTATTAATTCTGTTTTTCCACATTGGTTGTGTTTTCATCTGGTTTGTTTTTTCTTGTGTGCGTGTTTATGCTCTGTTTACTTTTTCTTCAAACATCCCTTCTGACTGGAAAGGTGAATTTTCCTTGTTAACTTCCGGTAAAGGAGGAAAATACAGGGAACTTCATGTAGCTACAGGTGGGTGTGAAACATTAAGTAGTCCTTTGGATTATGGATTCACACACTTTTTGGCAACAAATCATATGAAAGTATGTTGAGAGACATTTGTATGTTAACCAGAAGGACTTGTGCTGATCTTATCTTGTTTTTGGCTTCGGTAGATTCCTGCTCGGGTAACTACCAGTGTTCTCCAGTCTGCTGTGCACCGATGAAAATTGTTTTACCGTGGAGGGCAGATAATGCATGGCTGATCTCCTATGTTGCCAATGGCTTTACTAGCAAAAATACCCTAACTTAGAGTGGAAGTGTTACAACGGGAGTTCTCCATGTGACTTAAAAGGCACTTGGAGGAACATGAACATACTCCATCAGCTGCCATTACAGGACGCTTTTGCCAGAAACCCAGTGACCTTAAAAGAACTCTGTAGTAAGAGCTGGAGAAGAGAGATGGTTTACACAGATAACTGCCTGTTATTGGATGGCCATTTTAATTCTCCCTCCACAGGCAGCAGACTTTACCCCTTTTTAGTATTCTACTGTAACTATAAAATCTTTTACTTGATTTCAGAAAATTTTTGTATCATTTTGCTAAAGTTTTTGGCTTAAGTCTCTGTAAAGAACTCTATCTTCCTTTTGTCTGATTTAAAAATGTAGAATATAAACAATCCCAGTGAAAGACTGGGGTTTGAGGGATTTAGAGTTCGAAGGCTTATCATATCTCTCTGCTTTATTTGAGAAAATGGATTGTTTCAAACTTTTCTTTTTCTGGGTAAGGTCGTGTTTCTTGCACTCTGAGGCTGGTTGGTTTGGAGGGAATTGCCAGTAGAAAGCGAATGTTGCCAGACTCTGCAATGAATTGATATGTTTACTTTAACAACTACTTGTTCAGAAAAAATTGCCTTCTGTTTAATGCCAAGACCCAAAATGGGATTATGAAGTATTCTTGCTGTGAAATTCTGAGAATTTTCAAAACTTAGGTATGTACCTTATTTGATTCTTAATCATAATCAATCTGTGTATTTCCAGAATCATTAGCCATCAACTAGGAATGAATGACATAGCTTGTTTAGTTGTCCAAAAAAAAATTGCAGATATTATGGCAGATGTCCTTCAGGAATATAGGATAATCTTTATATTGTTCATTACTGTAAAAAGTTCCCAAAATTAGATATTTTGTCCTAATAGTATTTGGAACAGTATCAGGAGTACTGTTTTTATTAATATCACTGAAGTTATAGGAAGTCCTATGCTGGAAATGAAAGTAAAGTACATATGCAACTTTTGTTTGAAAAGTTAGCTATTTCAAGAAACTTTTCTCTGCTTGAAAACAAATTATTTAATGGCTTATTTGCCTTCAAAGTTTTATTAAGAATAGTATTTATTGTTCAAAAGTTTGCAAGTTCTTCCCTCTCTCAAAAATCACATATTAAGTATTCCTTGGCTTTCTTCAGAATTTTTCAGAACATTAACTTCACAGTTAGATGTACTCCAGGTCTGACAAAAAAACTGTTTGGGAGAATATAGTGGAATAACGTAAGAGTTTGATCCATAAATAAGTTTGCATAACAGATTTCTTTCCTGAGTTACTGTAATCTTCAGCATTTTAGGCATGTGCACTGTCATTTGAACAGTTCTACACTTCACTGTGCTTTCCTTGTAAATATCTGTGGTTAATATGTACTGTTAGAGGGACTTTCAAAGGCAGTCTCTTTATTCCCTCTGTATCTGGAACATTAGATTACTGTACTGTACTTAAATGTTGACTACAGATTTCTAGACTTGTACTCAGTTGTGGGCAATTTTTGTCCCTCATAATAGTCAAATTCCATCATGTGAAGATATAGTTAGACTGTCTGTATAAACCTGTGTATTGGAAACCGGTAGCTCAGAGTACTTCATTTGTACTATCACTGTATTTGTGTACTTTAACAATTGTGTAAATACATTCATAATGACTTCTACTCTTCCTTGGTGTAACTTAATCATGATGAATCCTTCCTCTTTCCATGGTGTAATTTTGTTTACCTTTTTAAAGGGTTTCTGTACACATAAAGAACATTCTCAATTATGAACACTTGAAGAAATTGTGGTAATATAAAACTTTCACTGAAGGGTTTTTGCTAGTCACAGGATACGGCTGTAAGGGTACACAAGAGGGAAAAAAAGAAGGCATTCATTGCTTGTTTCACAGAAAGTAAGCCTTTTTCTCTTTCAAGGTAGTTTTTGCTTGTATGGATATTGCTTCTTTTGCAGAAGTCTTCTTGCAAAGGCTTTGTTTTACCAGCCAATACATTATTTTAGTAAGAAGATTAAGAAGACAAGAATATTTATCTTTACCTGCAGTACCCTGTTTAAAATCTTTTGTTCTTGGCACATAAACCTCAAAAGTTTACAAAATCTGAGGGCAGAAAGGCCTTCAGGAACCCTTTTGGTCTCTCTGATTACAGATCTTTGAAAGGTGAAGATTTATTATTTTATCCCCATAGTTTTCAATCAAAATTGGATATGTTCTTTTATGTGGAAAATCACCTGTGCTGCAGTTGAAGATAATGCTGGTGTCTGAGTGTCTGAATTCTATGTGATACAAGTACCTTAAAAACAGTTGATAATAAATCCTATATTTTAAAAGATATATTGATGTAAAGGGATTTAGAGAGTCTGTGTATTCACTTGTTAACTTCTTGAAAGTATTTGAAATCTCCCTTAGAGGAGGTCATGTAGAATTTAGGGGCTTCTCATCCTTCATTCTCAAGTGGGGAAAGGTATCATAAGCACAACTGTTTGTTTTCTTGCTTTCCCTGCACTCTAGACCTCAGAATGGCAGCTCCTCTGTTGACACTGTCAAAGGTAACACTTTCAGAAATGGAATTTTTCAACACAGATCTTTGCAGTGAAATTAAGGATTTATGGATACATCAGTGGGTGGAGTGTTTGTGTTCTTTCTGTAAAGAATGATCCTTTACTTTCTGTAAGAGAATGAAAATCCCTGTAAATAAAAAAAAGATATTTTTGTTGTTCTTCAACTTGGATTTGTAAAAGTACCTTCTATCATCTAGCATTACTCATTTTGTGTATATAAAATACTGAGTGAAAACAACATTGATGGTTTTCTTTTGATAGTACTGAGACATATATTCAGGAATCTAGGTTTAACTCTGTTGTGAGGAAGTGTAATGTACCATGAACTTAATCCTGCCATAACAAAGTAATTTCTTAAATCTGTGGAATGAGACAGGCTACTAAGTTTTTCGTTAAAAGAGTGCAGCATTTCGTTATTATGAACATTACATGTCCCTGTGATTTATTTAAGTACCTTTTAATGGTATTATATGTATACTTCTACATAGAAATGATTTTTATGAACCATTCGGTACCATTTATTATCATTCAGTATTTTCATACTAGGAAAGTGCTCAAGAGGGCTGATCTTCAGTGAGAATCTGTTTCACAGCAAAATACTGCTAGCCTTTTTCAGCAGATAAGTGCATATGACTCTTGCTTTATGACTCTTGTTCCAACATGGGGTCTTTTTTGTTGCTTGTTTGTTTGTTTCTTAAGTAAAACTACTATGTTTCAGTTCTTTGGACCAAGCCCTTGTATATTGCAAGCAGATGTACAACTTACAGCAACTAAGGAGATAAGTTCTTTACCTATGATATATGACACACAGAGTCAACAAGAACAAAAAAAAAACCCTTCTTTTAATGTTATGTTCTTCATTAATCTCGCTTATGGGCAATTTCCTGACTCGAAATATGTAAATTTTAAAGCATTAAGCTCTTGTTGGTTGTGTCTGTTTCCTGTGATGAATCCAGGATACTTGGAGGAATAAATAGAACAGGAAATCACCTGGAGTGTTATGAACTATGAGGAAAGTGTTAGTTCACATCCCACAAATGGACACAACATTTGGTCTAGTTACAGACCTTATCTTGCGTCAGAGCTGCAAGTATTAAAGATGAAACAAATATGCATTCAGGTGGATGTTGCATGGTACTGGTCTGTTTGTGTCTCCCTTTTGGAGGCAGTTGGTGTCTCCTTAGCAGTTTTATGACCACCGCCTTTCCTAAACAGATGAAAGACTGCAGAATACCAAAAATTTAACTTAAGGGTTTGGATCTAAACAGTGCAGAGACTAAAGAAATACTGTAACAAAACAGACAAACAAACAAAAAGATTTAAGAGTATTTCCTTGTGGATTTGCAATAAGCAATAAGTAGTGCTGTATCCAAGAGAATGATTCTGATACGTTCTCCTATATATAATAAAATTCCTAACTGTTGTTTTAAGACAGCACTTGGAACCTTAGGATTACTGCAGCTTTTTACAGCTTAGTGGAGGAAGGGCTATAAAAGAGGTGTTCAATGTAAAGGCCTATGTGTCTGTGTCCATGGGAGCGGTGGGAATACGTTTTGGCATGCCGCAACATATTGGTCCAGTTTTCCAGGCTGAAGATCTGTTTGGCATGCATGAAGGTTTCTTTCCCATCAGCACACTGAATTTCCTGTCAAGGAACTCCAGCCAACAGAGGGAAAGGAAAGAGGACTGGAAAGTTAGCACATACCCAGTTGTTACCCAAAAATGAGATAGGAAGGAGGCTGGGAACTTAAATGGCTCCAGAACTCTGGATTCGTACTAGATAGCAAATTAAGTTGTAAGCCTGTTTCTCACAGTCAAGAAAGCAGTCTTGTGATTTGGCCTCTTTCATGCGGTAAGTATCTCCTGGTATCATGAATACTGCAATCCTTTAGTAGCCATGTGCCAAAAACAGCATGAGAACATTGTAGTCCTACTCAGAGTAGTCTATTTTTCAGTCAGTGGAAAGTGTTTGTACAGATAAAAGAGGCACTTTACTAGATTTACTTCAGAAATTATTATGGAGCTCTATTGAAATTTTTTTCCCATGTCTTAATGACTCCTACTTTCACCTCAATCAAAGTTTCAACATCATCTGATTCTAGCTTAACTACTGCAAGGACATTGTGTGTGGAAAATGTCATTTAGTCTAGAAAGTCAGTATAGTAAGTTGCAAGCCTGAATTTAAGAGATGTTAAATCTGGACAATTTGCAGGATTTATTGAAACTTAAAATTGTACCAAAACGTATAGCAAAAAGGAATAGCCATTTAATTCAGTGATAACAGCATAGTATTCTCTAGCAAAGGAACTTGGAAATTAAAAGCCACAGTAGGATAAAAATGACTATTTGAGATGTTGAATTCACATTTGGAAAGGCTTTTAGCTTTTCCTTCCTGAAACAGAACAGGGAACTCCAATCTGAAAGCAGTTATCAGGCCTTATCATCATCTGATTGTGGCAACATTTGAAGCAGCCTCCAGGGATATCATACACTGATCTGTGTATTCCTTTTTCCTTTTCCCCCTTTTTCACAGATTCACAGAATAGTTAAGGTTGCAAGAGACATCTAGAGATCATCTCGTCCAACCCCCTTGCTCAAACAGGGACACCCAGAGCACGAGGCACAGGGTCCCATCCAGGTGGGCTTGGAAGATCTCCAGAGAAGGAGACTCCACAAGCTCCCTGGGCAGCCTGTTCCAGGGCTCTGTCACCCTCACAGTAAAGAAGTTCTTCCTCACATAGAGATGCAACTTCCTGTGTTTCAACTTACACCCATTGCCCCTTGTCCTATCACCGGCCAACCCTGAGAAGACTCTGGCTCCTTTCTCCCTACGTTCACTCTTCAGGTATTTTATATTTCCAAATACTGACTTACACTTTGTCAAACTAGACCTAAGTTCTGTAACTAAGTTCTTACCAATAGAACATGCCAGAGCAATTCCTGATGCTAAATTAATAAGATTTTAAAGTAATCTATACAGTATAAAAATAAGCAATTTATTAAGGACAGCATCCATTTCATTTTAAAACCAGGCAAAGAAAAAACCTTCACAGTCCTAAAGTTTAAACATCTGTAGAACCTTTCTTTTAACAATGCAAAACCAGTTTTTAAAAATTATCAGAATGGAAGCTGGTTAGGGAATGCATTAGGGAATGGTTTACGTTTTGGCACTTGTCTTGCATTTACTGTATGTTTCTGCTAAAATGATTAGTTATGAAATAACTAAATACTATACTGAATGGATACTATTGAGCTTCATAGTTTTCAGTTATTAAGAGAAATGGAAGAATTTTGGCATTTATCAGTGAAAAAAATCAGTTACAGTTGTGTCTGTGTTGAAGATTGTTACTGCAGTCACAAAGCCTAGAGAACTTCTTACATACACAGCTGAAAGCTGATTTGCTGTAGCATAATTTCATACAAAAGAATATATAAATGTCTTCAATGTGTTTGAGTGAATGACTAGCAGAATATATAGGATCATTTTCTTTACTTTCTTTTTCTGTTGAGATGATGTTTCCCCAATTAATATTTTCCCTTTTTGCATTTCTTCAAATGTGCTGTCACTGCATTCTGTTCTGCTTGTTTTATTGCCCTAACCCATCCAATACTGGAAAAGATTTAAAGATTCTGGAGACACTCCCTGTTCTGTTTGTGCAATGAGCAGCAAAGCAGACCCCGTTCTTGATTGGTCCTTACACACTGCTATCATAAATGTGCTCAACAGCTCCATCCTCTTTTCTTAAGCATCAAGAATAGCATCTTGAACTTCTTTAGACCAAGCAAAAGCATAGGGAAGTGGGGCAAATTAAAAAAAAAATAAGTACAACATTTTAGGACCTTCCTACATTGCTAACATTGCATTTTTAACTTTAACATGATTCAAAATACAAAATAGCCCAGTCCTTTTTTCCTAAGTTAACCAACGTTTGTATGTCTCATTGCATGAGATCTGGAAACCTCTCCCATTTTCTATATACAAAATGGAGACTGAGACAATTCTACTAAACCTAGTATCTGTCTTTTCAGTGTTATTTTTAATATTTTTCTGGGTTACAGGAGACTACTGAAAACTGTGCGCATGTGAATATAAACTAACCTTGCTTGCCTTATCATCTGTCAGAATCAATTCTACTCATTTTATTTTGTCTTGGTATTACCTAGGAATACCACTTATGTGATCTGCTGAGAATAATATCTTCTTTTCCGTGTACAGTGTTTCCAGATGATAATTACAAATATCACAGGTTTAGACAAAACTCATAGAAATACATTTGCATAAATCAAATGAACAGATACTATCAAAATTAAATGAGGGCTGAGCCAATTAATCTAAAAATCTAAAAAAAGTAAGAAATTCAATACCTAATGGAGACCTGTATATTCCTGAGATTTTTTCTGCATCTCAAACTCTTTCCCCTTCACAAAGAACACGGAAAGGGAAATTACATTTAGCTGCACAAAACAATTTCACCCATACTGTCTGAAAACATACATATGGTTTCACTTTACCTAAAATAGATTTTTCCTATATATCTCTTCCAAGTGAGAATTCTCTGGTGATGCATAGCAGGACTCTACTTGTGTTTACAAAATCTGTATAGTAAATGTTAAAATTATAACCACAATGCTTCACCTTTTACTGATAAAGCTAACTTTCTGATAAAAGGCTGTCTAACAGAACAGCTTCCAGAGAATCCTGATAAGCTGTTTGGCCATCAGTTAATGAAGCAGATGGCTCAAACCTAAACTAGCTCTATTTCTAAAATAAATAATGTTGAAAATCTTGGACTTTTTTTTTCTCCTAAATGCTTTGTCAGTTTCTTGTCATGTTCACACACATGTTTCTGGATTAGTTACAACTTCCCCATTTTTTTCGGGCTCATCTTTCAGAAACTGTTCTACTTCAATGGAGTCCACCTTGGCATCTTCAGGAGTTTTGTCTTCAGATTTGTTTAATTCCTCTCTTTCTGCTGCTGCTTCTTTTGTATGTGGTTCTTCCAATTTCTTCTTAATGCAGAAGAAATTTCCTAAAGCCAGCACGAGTGCTGAGGTGGTAACTTCAATTCCAGCAATAATAAAAACAAACATGTACCTCTGTGTTGCATCCAAGAGTTTTCCTGAAAAAGACAACATTCCAGGTAATTAACAAAAATAATTATGTAACTTTGGTCTGTTTTTAAAACAAAATCAGCACCTACATGACTGGTGGTCGGACCTACCCCATAGGTAGGGTCAGACATACCCCCAATCATGTAAAGTTATGTAAAGTTTTTAAAATGAAATTTTAACAACTTTATAACAAAAGAGTTCACAAGTGTTTCAATGTCAGCTTAGCATTTACTAGAAGTATTTAACAATATGAAACACGTATTCCCTCCCCCACCTCCTCCCCAACATACACACTGTCATGCAGTTCAGCTGGAATGAAAACAACTTAGTATACAAGGGATGGGACAAGCACCATACATTTCAGATCAAAATATGTGCATCTGTCACCATGATCTGTATCTGTGTCATCAGCTTCTTGTCATTCCCAGCCTCATTCTTCCTCCCCAGACAAGCCATGCATTTTGCAGGCAATTGGTCTGCTTAAATCTTACGCAGCAGTCAGTCTGGAGCAACTGACTCTGTGATGCCTTATTCAAGTTAAATATTCCTTGGATTGGGTGCAGGTGAATAGAAGGGAGCTCCAAACCTGGATGTCACAAGAAATAATGCACAGTACTGTTTTCCTCTGTAAAGGGTTCTGTCATAGTAAAGATTCTGGACGAATGTTAAGTGCCTGGTGTAAAGAGCATTCTGTGGTAGTGAATTTTTTTTTCTTTTAGTTCAATGTCATATAGTATTTACGTGATATCATTAAGAATGATTTTTTTTGTACTATCCCCTTAGTCTTGAGCTGTGGGACGTATGCAGCAGAAACAAGTCAATCTACCTCCCTTAGAACAGCCCTAATATTTCCTAGTCTTTCTTATAAAGCTCTTTTTTTTCTCTTGTTCACCTTTTGAAGATTTTTTTTTTCCTCCTTTAAATCTCCCATTGGGATAGATTCTATCCCAGTACTTTCTGAAGTAATCTGGCAGATTTCATCTTCTGATTCCCAAATCCAAAGAAATCTTAATTTCCTTAAAGTTACTTGCTGTGTGTGCATGGTATTAATCTCATTTAATATTAGTCATCAACTAGTAAGATAGGCTTACTATCCAACAGACTTTCAGTGTAGGAAGGAACATCTCCAGGTGGCAATTTAACCAATTTTAAAAAGGTCCAAGACAAAAAAAAGGACCAAATTCATCCCACTGTAGCTGCAGAAAGTCACATAAGCATGTGCAACATTAAGACAATATACACTTTTTGAGTGACTTTTGTTGTTTCTTTTTCTCCCCCTTATCATGTAATTTGTATAAATAGGTACAATGCAAATGATTTTGACTTCTGAACTAAATGGAGTACTTACCTGCTGATGGTGGACCAATTAGAACAGCCATAGCTTCCGCCAGGAGAACTAAACCGATAGCACTGGAAAACTTCTGAGTACCAACTATAGCCATGAGAACTTCAAACTGAAGAGCACCTACCATTCCATAAGAAATGCCAAAAAAAATGCAAAAGACCACAAGGCCGCCGTAGTCAACAGACATGGAACCCATAAGATCTGTAAAGCCATTAAAAATCATAGCAAAACTGAAGAGGTAGACACAGCGTGGTCTAACCCACTTGAGACCTGCTACCATTCCACAAATAGGCCGAGCAAAGATATCAATGAATCCCAGAATAGTCAGAAGAAAAGCTGCTTTTGTGTCTTGATACCCTAAATCCTTGGCATAGCTCACAACAAAAACTGGGGGCACAAAGAGGCCAAGCACCATGATAGAGGCTGCTAGTGTGTAGATTACAAAACCACCATCCTTAAATACACTGAAATCCAGAAGCTTTTTCTTCGCTTTCTTCTCATCAAGTTCTTTGGTAGCTTCAGACTTTTTAGGTGGTTCCAAAGGTCTCATTAGTGCTCCACATACACAGCAGTTGAGCAGCATCCCACCCAGTATAAGGAATCCTCCTCTCCAACCATACTCATGCTGTAGGATCTGCCCCAGTGGTGAGAGGGCACAAAGGAACACTGGGCTCCCAGCAGCAGATAGCCCATTGGCTAAAGGACGGCGTTTGTCAAAGTAACGGTTTAACATGATGAGCGAAGGCTGAAAATTGAGTGCCAGACCCAAACCTGTAACACAGTATACACAAAAATTAATACTGGCCTCAATAGGAAATCTCTAATTATAGTTGTTCTGATTCATTTTTACTTATAAAAAAATCCAGGATAACTAAGTATTTGAAAGAGTTACACTCTATAAATACAGGCTGCTGATCATAGTTGTAACCAATGAACATACTGAGAAAAAAAAATTATAAAAAATAAATACGACAAGTTCATTCCATATTGAACTGCTGTCTTCATAAAAGTCCATGTGGATGACCCTGATGGTTTAGCGATTTAGCATTTATATGAATGTTCACAATGAAAGCTAAAAGATTAGCTTTTCAACCATGTACTCTACTTACCGGTAATCACACCTGCAGTTAGATAGATCTGAACAATGCTTGTGCAGAAAGAGGCTATGACCATCCCCATTGATGCAAAAAGGCCACCCACCAACATGACAGGGCGACAGCCAAAGCGATTGACACATACACTGCAGAGAGGACCTGGAAAAGAACAAGAAGTTACAGTTACTAAGCTTTGGGAGGGTGTGGGGGGAATGGTCTTTTTTTTTTCTCTTCCCATTATTTTATGTCAGTTTGCAATTCTTCCTTTTGTCCCAGATTGTCAGGCCACCCGAGGAGAGGAGTCATTTCTCTTTAGTCATAGTTAGTCCTTTTCCTCTTCAAAATGCCATGCATTTTTTTCACCATGTTTAGTAACTACTTAATTACAGGGATTTACTTGTACACGCAAGGTGTATGTGCTTAAGATTTCGGGAATCACGTGAGTTGCAATAGTTCTTCTTTGGAATGCCTTAATTTTGCACCAGTGATGATATGTGATTGGGATCCCCAATGTAAATGTATGATTTACATGTAATACTCTTTCAAAAACAGGTAACGACTTACCTGTACCATAAAGCATGGCCAGCAAGATGGAGGAAATCCATGCAGTGTCACTATATCCAACGCCAAATTCTCTGATAAGTTCTTTGAAGAAGACACTAACTGCCTTAGGAAAGGCATAGGAGAATCCTGTGATGATAAAACAGCCAAAAAGGACAGCCCAGCCCCAGCCTCCATCAGGGGCTTTAATACCAGATGGACCGTCATCAGCTACTACAGCTCCCATGGTGAAGCTCCAAACGTGTTCCCTAAGACATTAAAAACAAACAACAACAACAAAAATGCAGGCTATTTTATACAGTCATCTTACCAAAAATATCCAAAAGTAGAAGCTGTAGTACAAATGAAGTTACAAATACGATATGAAACTTTTTAAATATCGAGGTTTCAGTGGCTACTTCAACTGTTCCTTGTTCTGTCAATTTTAAACCTGCAAAGTTGAATACAAATTAGACCCGTGCAATAGAATTTCAATGTATTCTCATAGCTTTCTAACAGTCAAAACTGTTTGAATTTCAACCAAATCTCATATGGAGATAGCAGGAAGAAACTGGGCATCACATTGTAATTACAGCTCCTTCTTAATGCATACAGGATCTGCACCAGAAAACTGTGTCAATAAATATTCAAAAGAAGTCCAACAGCATCCTTGATTCAAATAATCTTTATTTTAGATGATATCTCAGTGTATAAGGTACTTTCAGATACTTGTCTCCTTATAAACGCATATTTCCACCTTGACAAAAAAGATAAAAAATAGATAGCTGTTAACTCAGAAAATAAAGAGTTTCTCAGATACTAACTTTCCTCTAAAACATAATCTTAAAAGCAGTTTTTCACTACTTCTCATAGGCACGGTGCAGGGTGAGCAGCTGCCTTGAAGTTAGGTCACTGACTGCTGCCCTTTAGAGAGGCATTCTGGACGTGTTGCTATGTGTTAATACCATGTGATCACAACCTACAAAATGCTTCCTAGGTACAGGGCCAAGGCCAACATAAAACCTCTTCTGCTTGTCATAAAGAAGAGTTAAAAATTTGGGCTTGTAGCAAGAAGGTAAGAAAGAACTCTTTAAAAAGAATGGAGGAGACATAGGGGTCAACCTTTCAAAACAGGAAGTGGTTTTATAAACCAGTGAAATAGGTGCGAGTAGAACAGATAGCTGGGAGCAGAGGGAAGTAATTTCTGACAAATAATGAGTAGCAGTTGTGTAATACCTAGGGTCATTTTTTTAAATGAAGTGTCAAATTATATTTTAATCTTTTTAATGTTAAACTCTGATATGTTTAAAATGCAAATTACTGTTCCCACTGGACCATGATTCCACTTTACTACTACCTGCAAGAGGAGTGCAAGCACAGTTGCACATCAGATAAGATTATCAGCAATACAGAAAGATTCTGCTTTGAAAACTATGGCCCACTATAGCAATGGTGATTCATCGAATCGTGTAGTTCTTAGGGATCTCTGTCAGGATCAAACTACGTAAGACACACTCTGTTGATGCAGATTCACTGTGTAGACAATTGGGCGCTGACTGTTAATTAGGTCCAAACGAATGTACTGTATGACATGTAAGCCAGCACTGCTGCTTCTTGGAGGAAACAACTTCATATACAAGACCCAGGCATAATCATGACTATAGCTTGTATATATCTGTGGGTTGCTCAAGAAGGAGAATATGTCTCATGTTACTGGTTTCACCTCTTCTGTAAATATAAGCAGTTAACAGTATATATGAATTTTGTGCTATTCAACTATAATATGATTAAACATGAAGTGAAATAGAAAACATAATAAAATTAAGCATCCTAAATTCTGTGCAGTGATTCTAGGTGTCTTGCTAATTTGCTGACGACCATAAGAATGTGCTCTTAGTTCACTCTTAGTTTGTCAGACTGGGCATTTTTCTCACTGGTTTTCAGCCAGTAAACGTATGTCTTAAAATACAGACCTCATCTCTGCAAGCCCTCCTCACACTGGGATGTTCACTCTTCAAAACTCATTTCCAGTAGCTCCTGTATGCTGCACATTCATACATCACTCTTAGACAACTGTTGATTGGTAATATTAAATTATCTAGAGTTCTCCAAAAATCTCATCTCCTTTATACCTGCTGAATGCTTTGCTATTTATTTATTTAGGAACTTCAGCCCTCAATCCCAAAAGCACTTAAACCTTTACTGAATTTTACTATTTCATTTTACCTTTCATGCTTACATTTGAAAAGCCAGGACCAAGTTTCTATCTGAAATACAGAAACATATTTGGGGAAATTAGGAACCTTCCAGGAAGAAAACCAGTTTATCCAAAAAAAGGAGAGAAATGGCTTGACTAATATGCAGTTACGCATTTTCTTCATCCAAAGACCAAAAATACTTTTGTGATTTGGCAGAGAAAGCAGTTTAATAGCTTTACAATCCCTCTAGTGTGCTCTTCTGCTCCCTACCTGCTCTTCCAATGTCTGTTTACCACATGACAGTATAATGTATATTAAAGGTCTGCTGATCTAAAACCATAATAAACAAAACTACTAATATTTGATGTCTTTTTTAAAGCAAAACATTGTTGAAATCATTCTGAGTGAAATAAAAGCACAGTTAAAGTACAGTTTGTACTCTTCAAAAAGGATTTTTTAAAAAAGCAATAACCAGATAACATTGTGTGCACAAGGTGTAGTACCTTCTTGATACCCATAGATTCAGGGTGAATGGACTTTGATCACTCACATTGTTTCCAAAATGGAAGACAGAACACTTTGGAGTGAATGTTTAAAAATCTGATGGAAGTGATGGAAGTGTAAATCTTCTTTTTCTTTCTTTTGTATGAACCATCTAGTGGTAACATAAACACAGTGGCATGAGCATGATTTGTTGAAAAATACCAGACAGCTGTTTCTGCAGTTGACTTAGGCAACGCAGGGCTGAATTCAGCCATAGGAAGAAATGGCTTATTGCCATCCACCTCTCTGCCTGCACACAGGCGTGGATCTACAGCAAAGATCTTCTGACGGTAATCTCTACAGGCTTCCACTGCTAAATCCATTCAGCAGCCTACATCCAAACCATGGCAGTGGCTCTTTGGAGGAATCGTCACAAAAAAAATTGTGGCAGAATATCTGTTCTACCCGAAAGAAATGCCAGCGCTTCACAAAATTTCTCCGCGGAGCGCGAACCCACGGCGCGTGCCCAGGTCGCGACCCTGCGCGACCCTGCAGCGGTGACGCGCAGCAGCAACAGCCTCCTCGGCTGGCGCGCGCAGCGGCCGCCGCACTGAGACGTGAAGGACGTGACTGGCGGAGGGGTGGGGCTCTTACCGTAATTGCAGACGGCGGCGGTCCTCCGCGCTTCCCGGAGGCGGAACGCGCTGCGGTGCCTGGCAGAGCTCGGCGCGGCGGCTCCGCGCAGCGCCCGCAGAATGCACTCCTCAGGACGGCGAGGGACCCTCCTCCCTGGCGGTTCTCGTGCCCGCTTTCTCGCCCATTTTGTCCCACCTCAGCCATAGTTAGTCCCACCTCGCTTATGGGGGGTTGGCCCCCTTTGTGTGCCTAGTAATAAGAGCCTTTAAAACAATTTCCTACTATGATGTGATGCACAGACTTGCAGATGTGGGAGCCTGGCCTACTCCCAGATTTCCAGAAAAAAATATACTTAGGGGAAGCAGTTAACATCCACTTACTCTTCATCATAAATGTATGCTTGCAGGTATAACTTCAAAATTATCAGAAAACAGCACATCAGGATCTCAAACACCACTGTGTTAAAATTAGTCTATGTATGCATACTTGTGTGTGTCTTGCTCATCTGGTTTAATCCATTAGTAGTTCATAGTTACACAGCAGAATTAAAAAAAAAATGTTAAACAGAACTAAATGAGCCCTGTCTCTTCAAACACAGCGCAGAAGATGCAATTCATCCTGTGGTGGAGCGTAGCGGGTTACCTGGCTGACATTACCCTCCTTAGGCACTAATAAGGAAGTAAAGGGTAAGTTCCTGCGTACAAAGTTGTGCAAAATTGGCATAGCAATATAAGAGGTGAGTTCATTGCTGATTAGCACAGACAAAAGTTTTTCATAAAATTTCACTTCCGGTATAATCAGTATTGAGGCCATTGCCTGCCAACAGAGGGTACTGCAAAACCATTCTGAAGTTGACTTATCTTTCTTTTCTTGCTAGCTTTGCCCTGTCAGAGAAGGTTCTCATTTAAAGGGCTATATCTCAGATTCCATCTCTACAGCAGACATGACAAAATTCCCAGTATTTAATCCAGAGTCAATCATAAATGGCTTTTGCTTTTGTGATATGCCAAATGAAGGACGCAAACCTAGTTTTACCTGTGCGCTTTCATGTTCTTGATATTATCTCATTATTCCCTTGAAAACCATTTCAGAATACAACACACATAGGAAATATTAGGTGATTGCTGCTAGCATCGTGGCTCGTGTATGGTGCAACGTGCAGTATGTACACAAAGAGAACATCCATATTATAAAAAGCAGCACCAAGAAACAAGACAACTCTGATGTTGGTGTTAAGCCAGTACCCTTTATTGGCCATGTGGCAGTAATTTACGGCTACCAATATGGATAGCATGACCTTTTTAAATTATGTATACTGACCTCCTATATAGCTAGACAGTTTCCCTTCAATTAATTTTATTTGGGCAGATCTGCTAGAAATCTATCCAACCTTGAATTCCTAGACTAGAAATAAGTAATGGAAATAGAAATATTCTATAAATAGAAAACAGGTCATACACTTCCATATAGGGATCCCAGTTCAGACTGGATTCCCACTAGGTTGAGTGTTGTACAGTCACAAAAGGAAGATAGTCCAAGCTGAGCAATGTAGGGATCTATGTTCAGTTTCTTATCCATGCAATTTAAAGAATAGCACCTCTTTTTCCATAGGATGTTGAGAGTAGGGATTCACTGAAAAGTGTACGGTACTTGATACTACAGCAATAGGAATCTTAAATCCTGAACACACCCCACCCCCCCATATTTGCCCAAGGATATTAAAATCTAAACAAGCTAGACAAAATATTTTTTTTTTCATTGAAGACTAACCGTCTTCACTGAAATCATGCAGGAAATTACCCTTGCCATAATCAATTTATTTTAATGTTCTCCAGAAACTGATTGTAGCCTCTACATATAAAGCAACTACCTGTTACAAGGACGTATCGCAGACATCTGTCTACTCAGCAGTGTTTTAGTCTAAACACTAAATAATGCTTCTTACATTTTAATCTTAATTTATTGCATTCATTCTTGATGGCATGGCTACATGCCATCTTGATGGGCTAATCATCTGAAGCAGAAGTACATTTCTTGGGCCTCAACTGCCTAAATGCCAGCCATTTTAGTTAAACATCCATTTCCAAAGATGTCTGCAAACTCCCATCCCCTACAAAATCTTTACCGTATTTACCCATGCCTTCCATGACCTCCTGTTCTCCACCTTACAATGTGAAGTCACTTTCATTTTCCCAGCTAAACCCTCTTTATCAGAGACAGGTTTCCAGTGATGCAGGATCTCCATATGCCTTTTTGAGAGGCTTGCCAGCTTTCAACACTTCACTGTTTCTCAAAACTCCGAAGAAAAAAACATGCAGTGTTTCTGTGCTGTCTATAGCTATAGGCTATATATGTAGGCCATATATATAGAGAGGCTATATATGTGTGTGTGTCATATACCAACACTTACTAGCAATCTCCTATCCTTGCTTACGTTCAAATCATTTTAATGTTTTTTTTCACTGCTAGAGCTGCAACACTATATCACAGGTTACTGGTGTGAACAAATTCATGCTGCAAGCTCATGTGAAACAAGGGATGGTGACAGCATCCTATTATCTGAGTAAACTGATCTGTAGGGGATGTTCGGCGCTTCCTGCTTTTTTAATAATCAGCATGTTACCATTATCTTATTTGGGAAAAAAATATTTTTTGTGTGTGTGTACTTCTTTAATAACAAGCATGATACCAGAAAAGACCCCCAACTTACTCTGGACCATAAGCAAAAGAACAAGCCACAGATCTGCATACTAACTTGAAGCTGAAAGAGGAAAGACTAATGTGATTTTCTTCTTACCAAGAAAGGAACAGCTTTTTTAATTTTAATGGAAATACTTGCATAAATATTTTCTTTACTTAAAAATACAGCTGTAACTAGCAGTTCAGTCTTCACAGGTACCATCTTTGAGACAAATACATTCATTAGTTCTATAACAACAATATTGTGAGCTCCCTAGTTTTCATATCAAATGCCTCATTTCAGGAGAAGCAGACCTTTTTTTTTCCTAAAACCTGTGTTTTTTTAATACCACATCCATTACCTTAACTGCAAACGCATTACTGTCAGTATCCTGGGAACAGACAAAATACGCCCTTTCTGTGTGCACAGAACAAGAAGACAACATGCCTTCAATTATCCTGTCACTTTCAATACGCTTTCAGAAATGGATGCTACAGGAGCCCAACTTCAGCTGAATACTCATATCTTTGTATAGTACACCTGAGTATCCCAGTAGCTTACATTTGTGTATGTGAATTATTATTCAAAATTGAAAATGTGTATAAGTCATCTTAGTATTTTTATAATATTTAACTTCATAATATTTTATAATTTCCCTTGAGTTACTTCCTCTGACTTAATTACAACATCTGTATTGTACTGTTTTACATTTTCAAACCGCTGACTGCCACACCTTAATAAACTACTGCTTCTTTGGAAACAAGTATTGCAAAACTTACATAATTTCATCCTAAACCAAATGGTTTACCAGGTATCACAACAACTCAAATCTATTGTTTAAGCAGGTTTCCAGAACCAGATTTTCAGAAACGGTGAGGAAGTTGTACTGTTGCAATTCAATCTCCTGTTTGTTCGTGTAGGGGAAAAAAAAAAAAAAAAAAAAAAAATCTCTTTCCAAAAAGACGAAGGATGAACTAAGGAAGACTGGGGCAGCCCCGGCGCAAGGCGAGGCGAGGGGGTCAGAGAACAATGGTGGCGACGGTGCGGAGCCGCCAACGGCCGCGAGGCCGCGGGCGGCCCCGAGGCTGGCGTCCACCCCTCCCCTGCCTTCCCCTTCCCTCGCCGCCAGGAGCCCCGTCAGCTCCTGCGGGTGCGCTGGCGGCTCCGCGCTGCCTCGGATGAAAACTGTCTATAAGGAGACTAGAGATTAAGCGTCCGAGTGCTTAATCGTTTTCAGAGCGCGCGCAGAAGCGACTAACGGTGCTAATGCTTTGGGTTGAGACGATGTCCTCGCCAGGGACAGTCCCTCAGGCTGCGTTTTGCGCGCTCCGTCGGATTCCAGATTGTCACCGAAATGGGAAACGGAAATGAGAGGTGAACGACAGTGAAAGGAATGAGAGGTGTGTGGTCAAACGCAAACCCTCGAATCCTGGTGTATCTGAAGCCAGCGATCAGACGAAACAAAGTCCGAGCTTGTGGGCGGCGAGGGCTGCTGTGCTGTCGCCAGGGCCGAGGCGCCCCTCGGCGCAACGTGGGACACAGCGAGGGACGCTGCAGGCAACCCAGATCCGCGGCAGCCGGGCTGGACTGGGCCGCCAGCACCGCTCAGCGCCCGGACAGCGCCGGCGCGGGGGGCGCTGCGCTAGCGCGGGCTGCAACAGACCGGAGAGCGCCTGCCTAACCTCTGCTTCGCGGAGGACCCCGATCTCGAGATTGGCGAAGCGCGAGGCACCCGCCGCACCGCTCAAGGCGGAATCAGCGATCGCGACAGTGGCGCCCCGCCCGCCGCCCTAGCGGCCTTCCCGCCGCGGGATGCTGTGGGGATGCCGCTCGCACGAGGCGCCGGCGGCTCCCGAGCGCGGCCGCCGGCCAGAACTCCGCCGAGCAGGGGCGTGCGTTAGGCCTGCGGCGACAGGCTAGCCCGACGGGGTCCCGCGCTTCTGTGGCGCTCGTCCCGTGAGTCCGCTAAGCCTCCACGGTATTGCGTACGACGACTGTGCCTCCCTACCTGAGTCACTTCCCGCGCCTCGGCGTCGGGATGCTGAGTGGGCGCCGACCTCCTGTCCACTCCTGCCGGTGAACCCGGACGGACCCGCTCCGACCCGTCTGCCGATGCCCCGCCGGCTGCGGAGCCTTTCGGCTACGGCCGCTTTGCCAGGCTGCTCGTCCCTCCCACGTCAGAGTGGCAGTGGCGAGTCCTAGCGCCGCCAGGGCGCGCAGCCCCGCGCTACAGGTTCGCCCGGGCAGGGGCGCGGCGGGAGGCGCTCGGCGGTGGCCTCGCCCCAATCCTGAGGCGGAGCCTCAAGGCGTCTCGGCGCGTCTGGCGGGAAGGCTCTGCGCAGCTAAGGCAGCGTTCATAAAGGACGTGCGTCCGGATCTGTTTCCGTAAGCGGGAGGTGCTCTGTGCTAGCATTCCATTTTTCCAGTCTTCTCACATAGCAATGACTTTTGTGAGGTTTTTCACTTTTTTTTTTTTTTTTCTGCTTATGACACAATTCAATCTGTTTATCCCAGTTCTGCCACCTGAGTGGAGATTATATAGGGGTTGGGATTATGACTGGTAAGGGATAGGCTACAGTACTGTCCTGTGAGATTTCTGATTTGGTGAAATCAAGGCAATACAGAAGCAGAATCTTTTTGCTATCCATAGTATTTTTTTTTTTCCTGGACATCATGTGTGTTCTTGCTTTTGATTGAATTTTGCCATAGTATTCAATTTTACAATTTAAGCTGTCACAATAATGTGCAAGGATGAGCAAGCTTGGATGGGATTGTTTGGGAACATAGCATACAGCCAGTGAGAAATATAATCTGAAACATAACTAAAATCACTTGTCTGTTTACTGCTACCTCAATCCAAGTCATTCACGCAGAGGCCAGATGAAGGTACTGTAGTACTACTACAGTAGAGCTACTCTCTGCTACTGTAGAACAAAGAGCACTGATTCTTGCAGAGCTTCTGAAGCAAGTGAGGCTGTGCTTGAGGCCCAGCAAAACTGGTGCAGTCCAGGAGCTGAAGATACTTCTAGGTGCCTCTACAGCTTGTCTTGGTTCTCCAAAAAGAGGAAGTATGACCTTGATTGCCCATTCCTAAGAACTGGAAAAGCTATCACTGTTCTTGAAGGAGAGATGGTTTTATCTATTGTTGTCCCTGCTCCTGACTACAATTTCCTAAGGGATATGGTACTTGCCTGCAAAATTTGTTGTTTAATTGTTCTACTTTGCCCATGAATTACCACATCATAGACATGTATAATCACCTATTCAAAATTCTAATTCAAATTTCAGAGATTTGTACTCTCTAAAGATACTTTCAAAAAGCACAGAGGTGCCTAGAAAAGGAGAGGGAATAAAGAAGGGAAAAGGAAGTTGGCAAAATAGCTGCCAATGTTGCCCCTTTATTCAGAAGAATGTATTCTAAAAATCAGTACTTCTTTTTTTAAGAGGCTACATAAGGAAAGAGATATATACCTAATAAGTCTAAAAGACTGAAAAGAAAACTGATTGTGTTCATATCTGACAGCATTGCTCCTACGAAAGCTTGTGTCTCAGTGCAGACTTGCAGTTCCTCCAGTCTCATCAGGAGAAGGTGATATATTTTCTACTTAGAGTTCAATTGTAGGACATTCATGTCATTTAAGAGGTCATATATATATATATATATGGATAGATATAGTATACATACTTCTATATGTAGACATACACATATATACACATACATATGTATGTATATACACATACATATACATATATGTACATAGATATATATACACATACACACACATACATATATATGTGTTAGTTTTTTGTGGGTTTTTTTTTTTTTTTTTTTTTTTTTTTTGAGACAGAAAGTGTCAGTAAAGTCTGTTTTTCAGAAGTGGGTGTCCATAACCACAGACCAGCTGCTGAGAAAACTGTAACCAGTGGACTGTTGTCTCACACTGTTTCAGAAAATTGCACTTTATTCTGAGAGTGATTGTACTCACAGAGGTTGATAGATCAGGGTAAATGACACCACTCAACATCAGGGCTCAGATCATTGAATTTTATTCAGTACACAAGGTGCTGAATTTTATTCAGCAATACAAGGTTGCTGTACTTGCAGAAGCCTGCACAGAATCTGGGTAATCTCAGAAATATTTAGAACTGAAAAGAAGGCACAAAACACCTAGTTATCAGTGGAATTTTGTTGCATATAAGTATTAAATATGCTGCAATATGCTTTTGAAAAGAGAACTCAAAACACAGGGATTTAAGGCATCATTAAAATTATGAAAAATCCTTCTTAAAACTTTTAGCTAAGTATAAAACAAATTTCTGCAGCTTATTATTCTTCATTTACAAGCATGCCAGCTATTACAGATATTCTGGAAGTGTTATTAAGAGAAATTCTTGAGGAATCACTAAGTAAATTTTATTTGGCCAGAGTAGACTATGAAAGTCTCAGTTTAGTTTCTTGCTAGAGAATAATAAAGAATAATATTGTTGTGTTAGATTAATAGAGGTCAGATTCGGAAAAAACTCCACTAAAGAGTCCTTGACTCCAAAATTCAGTGCTGTTTTCCAAATAAATAATGATTCCAAGGTTCTTTACTTATATGTTTAATTTTATATTTTTTTTTTTCTTTGAAATTGTGATATTCGAGCACTACAAATACATATACTGAAATAATATATTTGGAATAATGAAAAATATTTTTGAACACTATTTAAATCACTGCAAAATGCATTTGTACAGCATCATGACACAGATCAAGGGTCAGAGTATGCAGAGTATGCTTTTTTTGCCATGATGCAGCCTCACCTAACTATCAAAAATCTGTTTTTGTTTCTGTTCCCTTTTCATCATTACTCAAACCATCCACTTTTTTTTTGCATTTCTTTTTACCTCCTTCATATGTTTTTTGTATTCTTCAAAGTTGTTCAGTGGTGTTACTGTGTTTTCTCCTAGATTTATGGAATCACAGAATGACTAACGTAAGAAGGGGCCTCTGGAGACTGGCTAGTCCAGTTCTTGTGCTCAAAGCATGATCAATCATATTCAGCTGAGTTTTGACTGTCTTCAAGGATGGAGACTGCAACCACTCTGAGCAACCTGTACCAGTTTTCAATTACCCTTAAAGAAGTTTTTTTCTTGTGTTTAAAGATAATTTCAATTTGTGCTGCTTGTCTCTTGTTCTTTCACTGAATACCACTGAGTGCAGTCCAGCTCAGTCATCTCTAATACCCTGCCTCATTGGGTATTTATTGGCACTGATAAGATTTGCCACTGAGATTTCTTTCTTCCTGGATATATTGTCCCAGTTCTCTCATCCTCTCTGTCTCTGCTGCAAGGGCACATTGCCTGCTCACGTTCAGCTTTGGTTCGTTTCATGAGATTCCTATGTTGTTTCCATTAAAAAGGCCAATGTTGGGTGTAGTAGAAGATATAATTAAATAACTGCAATTCAGAAGAGGTTAGTAATTTTTCCTGAAAAGGCTTTCCAAAGGGGCAGAATGGCTGAAGCATTCTTGTTACAAGGTATAAATTGGAAGAGAGTAGCTGCCATTAAGGACAGAACTTCACTTTGGTGAAATTTAAGACTTCCTACGGCAATTGTCATGCCTGGCACTTCCTTAACTGCATAAATGCTTTTGTGTATCATAACAGGCTTGGGTGGCAGCTGCTTCCTATTCCATATTCCTACTGTACCCTCAACTGTTCCTGCACTTTGTAGGTGAGTCCCAAATAGTGCCTTAAAACTGCTTGTAAATGCTTATTTCAGTTAAGCTTTATAGATACATTATTTTAAGGCTATTTTTTTGTTGTTGTTGACAATTGAATAGAGTCAGTTGTATTAATTAAGCTTTTTCTTCACAGCAGTATTTGCAAGAATTCTAACATTTGAACATTTTCAAATGATTTCATACGAAGTTGATTATGCACTGTTCTGTGCTTATGCCTTTGCTTTAAAAAGCAAAGCAGACCGCATTATACAAAGAGCCCTTTATCGCAGAAAGGCCAGTGGTATTCAGAGCTGAGGTTTCAACAGTTTTAGTTTGTTTCTAAAGACTAGGAAAATAGTCTTTTTATATGATTCTGAAGATATGAGAGATGCAGATGCAACTGTACCTACGAGATGTATGTAGTCTTTAAAAAATGCAATCCCAGAAATATTATGCAGTTAGGCATGGGTAAGACAGACATGGAAACAAAATTCTTCTAGTCTGGATAGAGTTGAAATGTAAATGTCTCTTAGTTCATAAATACCAATAGCCACATTTCAGAAATGATCAGTATCAAAAATTCCTCTGGAGTCCCTTGCAAGTAGAGGACATCCAGCCCTTCTGGAAACGAAAGCACTTTTGTTTTAGAAGAGCAGCTTTAAACCATTAGTTTTCATTTTTGTTTGTCAAATAGGATACTGTATACCAAGTACATTCCTCAGGGTTCTGTGAACACAAGTAATTTATTCATTGGAAGGAAGGGTTTACTTGGAGGAGAGACCATTTTGAATTTTGAATGTTGGTTATGTCTATATTCAGTTATAGGGGCCTTGCGTGGTCCTGCCCCTATAGGTTCTCAGGAACCTATTCCCGAATGTCCATATAACCATCATTTGGAATGAGCCATGGCTCTCACCAAGCCTATGTCTCAAACTACTTTTCCGTAGAAACAAGGATGAGGGAGAAAGATGAATAGTTGGTGTAATCATGATTCTTGTCTTGGTATGGAGTTGAGTCATGGTGAATTGAACACAGCCTAAGGACTGGAAACTTAGAAGTGCGTTCAAGCCTAGTGAAGTGTGTGTATTCAGGATGATGCCATTTTCTTTCTTTGTGAAGCAACTTGTAAATATTGCTATTTCACGATACACTTACAGGACCTAAGTCTTGAGTTCTGAGGCAGAAAGGTATCTGAAATCTATCTATGGCCTGAATCTTCCCAAAATTACCAGTGTTTGGTAAGAACAGGAAATCTCTTTCTTCCTTTCTTCTAAATTACAGTTTCTTTTTTCTTCTAAATTCTTCTAAATTACAGTTGCTGTTTTATTAAAAAAGCTGCTTCCCCCCTGCCCCCATCTATGAAACCTGGGACATTTTCTTGTTTATTTTAGGTGTATACAGTTTTCTACATTCATCCCCAGATGGATAATGTGTAGACTG